ACAATTGCAAAGATGTGGTTTTTTGGAGGAGGCAACACTCTGGGCTTATTTAGTTGAAAAAAATAATCACTGACATCATTACAAAAGCATTTCCAAGGAAACCAGACAAATAATTAAATGAGAAGTGCTCTGCAGACACTAAATCATTTCAACTCTAAACAAGGCCAGGAAACAATAGGATGCCATTAAACGCCGACTTTTTATTTAGTTTGCAATTATTGTGCATATCAAGCAGAGAATTAAAATCAGGTGCCTGGAATAGCAGTTTTTTTGGGGAAATCCCGAACCAGCTAAACCACACAGGTATTTTTTTGCGTAAAGATTGCGACGTATGCAGAGCTTCCGGGCCCCTCACTGCTCCGGAGGAAGAAGACCCAAAGTGGTTTGAACGGTGCCATGAAATCTAAGATGTGATCTCAGCTGGTGATCTGAGTGCTTGAGAGACAGCAGACGTCTGGGTTACTCGGTGAGGAAGAGGGGAGCTGCTTAATTGGACGTGAAAGGCAGGATTTACTCACTCATCCCTTCTCCTATAAATAGTGCTGCGACAGCGAGGGTGCGCGGGCTCTGTTTCGCGCGGCCCCTTTTTAGCTCTGTCCCTCTGGGAATGGCGTCCAACCCCGACTGCTGCTCCGACTGCGATGAGCAGGGCCAAGGGCTCTTCGGGACGCCCGAACACCACGGCGCCAGCGCCGGCGTTCTCGAAGAGGAGCGTTGCCTAAGCCTCGGTAAAACCGGGTAACACGCTTGTGCTTTGAACCTGGAAGTACGCTCGTCTGAGTCACCAAGCCCTCCTCGGTACGGGCACGAGTTCCAAACCCTGTGTAAGTTTGAGCAGAAGGATTAGTGGCGCGAAAAGAGGAGGGAGGGGGAAAGAGCTCTCAAAAGATGGGATTTGTGGAAGCGTACGAATGGGTGCTGCAGGCGAACACCAAAGCTCTAATGCCGTCTTAGAGATCCCTAAATAGGAGCATAATCTGTCTCAGTTCTTCCCCTGTCGTTGAAGTGGATGAGAAGCAGTGGGTTGTCCAAGACGAAGAAGCTCCTGTGTGCTAATATTAATGATGTGGGGAAAAAAATGGAGTACCCGACTCCCTTGGCTCCTGTAGGGGCTGGTTTTAGCTCTTCCACGCCAGCACACGCTGAGCCAAGGCTCCGGCTGATCTCCCGAGCCTGCCTGGTGGAAGCTGCACTGCCCGCCCTCCCCGCAGATCCAGCCGTAGGATCGTTTTCCCACCGGAGGAGCAACAAGGTCCCCTGACTTTCAGGTTCTTTTTTCCCAGGCAAGACATATTGATGTTTAGCTATGGGACTGCCGTGAACTGGGTGACCCTCGTATCGCAGCTACGCACAGAGCCGTGCTGGACAAACACCTTCCATCGGAGTGCCAGGCAGACCTCTGCGTCCCAGCTGCGCCTTGCAACTGGCCCCATTTGTCGCTCCCTTTTGCTGGTTTTTGGCTACGACGGGCAAGGAGCCCGGCCGGGGTGATGTGCCTGGCGCAGGACACGCAGCCGTGGGACGCGGGCGCTGCTGGTGTGAGATTCCCCTGCGGCTCCCGTGCCGCGGGGAGCTGGGACGAGCCCCCGGTCATGGAGCACAGCGCGCACCCAGCCGGTGTCACCTGTTTTGGGTCATTGCTGCGTCTCAGCAGCGTCCCTGCAAACCGACCAGGCATGGCCAACGAAGGCTGTTTAATTCCCCGTGGTCAGGGTTCTCCCGGGCCGTCGAAGCCTTCGGCCCTGAAGAGGATGCACAGCTGCCGTTCCTCGCTCCGCAGGCGCCCTCTGCCCCGGCACGGCAGGAATTCAAACCCAGTTGAAATCGGATTTAAAACGCCGCCGCAAAACTACAGAAACGCTGACAGCGAAGTCTCTGTCAACGAGAGAAGCCAAAGGCGCTGAGCTGAGGTGCGCGATCGCTCCCCGAGCAGCTGCAGCAAGCGGTCGTACGGCAAACTGCCTACACGTTTAAATCAAAATGTGAAACGCGACGCATTTTTTAGCTTCCGATTTTCTGTCCTCAAAGCATCAATTTCCTGGGCCTGAGAGAGGAAAAAACCATTGTGTTTGGAAAATTCGGATCCGCATCAGCTCCGAACCTCCTTAACGTCAGCTTTCTTGAGGGCTGATTAAGTGTCTTGGATTTTAAAACATCTCTAACTTTCCCTCTCCGTCTTTGCGCTGCACGCCGTTCGGAAGGACAGCACGAAATCGATGCCAAGCCAACAGCGTGTCATGAAGTTACTCAACCCTGCTCGCGCCGGCTGCATTTCTGCTGTTGCCGTGTTTACGGCTTTCCAGGCGCAAGCGAGAATACGAAAACGTCTCATCCTTTTGGGGTTAAGGCTGGTTTTTTCGTTAAATGCCGATAAACGCTGGAAGGAGCTCGCTACCGGAGGGCAAGGGTGCGTGCAGCTGAGGGGTGTCTGCTCGCGCGGGGTGGGTACGTTGCACAGGGTCGGCCTGATGCTCCCTAAACCGCGCTGGCAAACAAACAGTCGAGTCCAAGCGCCCTGAGCCTGCGCCCTCAGATGAAGGGGCAGGATTTTTTGCTGCTTCTTTTATTATTTCAGAGACACAGCTCATTTTCCCTCCGTTCAGGCCGAGGAACGGTGAGAAGCCACTCGGGCCCCTGCCTTTCCGCTGCACTCGACACCGAGCGAGAGGACGGCTTCCCCTTTGTCCGGACTGTGATTTACAAACAGGAGGCAGTTTGGCAAACCAACACCTTGTCTTCACCTGAATGTTTTGGGTTAACGACCACCTTTATGGCAACTGCGTGCGCGGAAAAGCCAAACGTCCTCAGCCCACTGCATGGGGATGCTTCTGAGCACTCGGCTACAACGGCTTTTTGCGTACAGCAGCTGGGATTTCTAAACCTTACCCCGTTTACTCGCCAGAAAGGTGAAAGACTGCAGCTTGTAAGGAGAGAAAACCTTGGTTATCTTCAGCTTAATGCAGCCAGGGAAGGGGTGACGCTTCTGAGCAGCTCCGTGACGCCGCGCTGCGGACAAACTCCCCGTCTCAGCTCCGCAGGCAAACTTCGGTGGTCGGCGCGTCGCTAAGGTGTTGCCAGCGTCTCCGGGAATGCGCTGATAAATATCACGGACCAGCTGGCTGCTGTCTAAAGCGGACGAGATTTCATGGAGAAGCCTCCTTCTCCAATCCTTATTTCTTCTATAAAACACAGAGAATTTAAGCTGTATCCCCATTTCTGTAATGTCTTTCGATGTATATTAAATGTAAATCAAGCAGAACACAAGATGAACTGCGAGCGCGGCAGAGTTCCTTTGTGTCAGCTTTTATGAAAGGCTCCTTACAAGATTTGCAAATAGCTTTCATTTTTCACCAGCACCTGCTCACCGGCCGCCGGATAAAACACGCCCGTTCGATTATTACATTTTTATGAACATAACAGCCCTTTTCCACAATTGTCACACTTGGGAATAATAACAGCAGCAGAACGAACAGCTCGCAGGCCCGCTCCTTGAAGGGTTAGCAAAACAGATACCGGCTCCAGTCACACCAGTTATCCCATGAAGGGGCACGGCTGCGCTCCCAGCCCGGCGACAAGAGATGCAGGGGGGGAGCGGCCTCCCCTCCCCGAAATCCTGGCACCGCCACGGTTCTTTTTGCCGTGGATTATCACAAATGTTATTTGTTTTTGGGAGCCTGGCCGGCATAGGGACTTCAAAAACCTGCCTAGATGAACGAACGCGCAGTGAAATACAGGGGTTTGTCCCCAGCTTCGCCTCGCCCAGCCCAGCCCTCCCCAGAGCTGGTTCCCAGCTTGCTCACTGGGTGCTACTGGTGAGAAATTCCCGGTTAGAAAGAGTTGCCCTGATTGCTTTGTTGTGCACAAGACTGAAATGCTATTTTAATGCGTCTTTTGTACATCCCGATTGCTGGAAAAGACGACTGGCAGCGAGGGTGCCGACGGGAGGGAGCCACGGCCTGCCTCCAGCACCCACACTGCGGGAGGGTGCCCTGGAACTGGGGATGGAGGGGGGTTTGGTGCCTGGTACTGGGGACGGAAGGGGGTTTGGTGCCCGATAGCAGGGACGGAGGGAGGCTTGGTGCCTGATAGCGGGGACGAAGGTGGGTTTGGTGCCCAGTGGTGAGTATGAAGGTGGGTTTGGTGCCTGGTGGTGGGGACAGAGGTGGGTTTGGTGCCCGATAGCAGGGACGGAGGGGGGTTTGGTGCCCGATAGCGGGGACAGAGAGAGGTTTTGTGCCTGGTGATGGGAACAGAGGTGGGTTTGGTGCCCAGTGGTGGGGACGGAAGGGGGTTTGGTGCGCGGTGGTGTGGATGGAGAGGGGCTTGGTGCCCGGTGGCGGGGACAGAGGCGGGTTCAGTCTCAAACGGCTTTCCCCTCCCAGGCCATTTCCACCCCGTTCCCCAGGTCGGGCCCCCTCAGGCCCCTGGGGAGGGCTGGG